AAGATGAAGCACCTTCTCAGTTTACTTATTACCGGTTGTAGTAAACAATAAACAAGTCATAAAATAGATAGGAAGGGTTGTGAATTAAGTCAGTTGAGTTCTATTATAGTAGTATTTCAAGAAAATTATTTACCCTGCTGACTTTAAGATCCTAAGTGTCTTCTCCGTGTGTGCACACAGGATAGACCTCTGAAAAGTGGCGTAGTTACTTCTAGGTTAACGCTTGTGGTTAGCCAAGGCAGGATGGGGGAAGTTTGCCCATGCTGACATAAAGGGCTATTCTCTCTGATTCACACATTCTCTCCTAGACTGAATTGCCCAACTCCTAAAACCCCTCCTACAGAAATTCTGGAGTCATCACTGATTCCGTGACAGTCCCTATCTAATAGAGTGGTGAATTAATTATCAAACATGGAACAAAGAATACTGAAAGTTGAGCAAAATGGTAACATTTTGGAATAAATAACCGTAATGTGTGTTCTGCCTGCCACCCTAACTGGTGCTCATTTTACAGGTCAATTGTGTTTCTTGGAAGCAGTCCTGCCAGGGAGAGGAAGAATATCTCTCAGATTTTAGTTTGGAGGAATACGAGTTCAGGCTGCGAAAACTGGACTAGCACTTCTGAATATACGGAGAGGCGAGGCCTTGGGACTTCCTTGGAAATCTCAGCCGTCCCTACCACAATGGGCTGCTGGAGTTCTGGGGCCACCCAGGTCTGTGGCCCAAATCCTGCCTCACTAAGGGGGTAGTGGTGTTCCTGTGGGGGACAGTTGTACCTCTGCAGGGGAAGAGAGGCTTGGGCCCAGTGATTGTGGGGAAAATCTCCCCTGATAGCATGGAGCCGATCTGGGCCTGAGCTAAATAAAGGCTGCTGCGTAAATAAAGGTGTCATAGATAAAGGGCGGGGCAGGGTACGCGGTTGCTACGGGGACTCATGCGGCAGAGATGCCATAAGTGTTTCGGCTCCCGCTCGCGCTGGAGCCTTCGCACGTCATGTCCCTACTGCGCCTCTGGACCCTATGGGTCCTTCTCATGTGGCAATCGTTGTGGCTGTTGGTCCAGGCAGCTCTGCTTCTGGAGTGGGCCTGGGACCTGGTCCGGCTGACCTCTGAACCCCTAGGACCCACCAGGCCCTGGTCTTCCCGCTCCTCTGATCTCCCACCCGAATCGCCCCACGCGCTTCCACCCTCGGCAGACCCTGAGGGCTTTGCTTACCTGGGGTCCTCTGCTTCTTCCCAGATGTTGGCCCCGCCTCGGGAGTTGACGGAGACTTCGGCTCCATTCCTGGACACGCATTCAGCTCAAGAGCTGCCGCCAGGGCCAGATCCGTTTGCTGTTCCACATCGGGATCTCAGTGACAAGCTGACTGGACAACAAAGGCCCCCAGAGGTGGTTCCAGTGCCAGGTTGGGATCAGACTCGAGTCCTAGCTCTACCTGCTCAACTCAGAAGTAAGATTGAAGCTGTAGGTCTAGATCAGCCTGCAGACCACCAGGCATTGGAAATATTTGTTCCACCTCTAGATAGTCAGAGTTCAAAACCAACAAGGTTTATTATTTCACCAAAGAACCTAAAGAAAGACCTAGCTTAGCATCAACGACTTACTAAGGTGGTTTTTGGAACTTCAAATCAATTTGCATCAAAACCTCAACATCAAAAACAAACTCTACGGGATGGTGATTACCTAGATCCAAGTACAGATATAGTTTATCCTGGTGGCCTACCTCTGGAATTCCTAGAGAACTTAGATGAGCCTGCAGGGCCTCCTGAATTTTCTCAATTCCATCTAGAGGATGAAATTCAAAATCCAGAGACCACTAAAGAGATCCAGTCTTCTTCATTCCAGCAAGAAGCCCCAGAACAATCCTCTGAGGAGGTAGAACCTTCTTCAACCCAGCAGGAGTTCCCAGCTCAGCCTCCACAGCCTCCTGAGCAGGTTGAACTTTCTTCAGCAGAGCAGGAGGCCCCAGCTCAGCAGCTACCAGATACTGAAGAGGTTGTAGCTCAGCCATCAATACATCATGAAGTGAACGTTCCATCTCCAAGTTGGACTGCAGCTCAGCACTCAGTCTTGTCCAGAGTCACAGTTAAACCTGTGGATCTGGAGCTTACAGTAACTCCAGAGCCAGGTAACAACACTGAACCTACTCCAAGTCGGCAGCAAGCCCCAGCTCAGCCTCCAGAGCACCCTAAGGAGGGAGAACCTTCCTCAACCCAACAAGAAGCCAAGCTCCTGAGGAGGTTGAACATTCCTCAACCCAACAAGAAGGCCCAGTTCAAACACCAGAGCTCCCTGAGGAGGTTCAACCTTCTGCCACCCAGGAGGAGACCCCAGCTGAGTCTCCAGGCTTTCCTGTGGAGGCGGAACCTTCCCCCAGTGAGCAGGAGCAGCCAGCTAAGCATTCTGAGTTTCCTGGAGAGAGTGAACCTTCTGAAACCCAGCAGGAGGCCACAGCTGAAACTCCAGAGTCCCCTGTGGAGAGTATAGCTCAAACTCCACCGAATCGTGAGGAAACAGTTCAACCTCCAGGTGAGGATCACCCTCATCATTTTAACTTGCTCATGTTACAGTTAAACCTCCAGATGTGGAGGTTATCATAACTTCAGAGCCTACCAAGGAGACTGAATCTTCTCTAACCCAGCAGCAGTCTATCATTTTTAGGGATGTGCTGGAGGTTGAAGGGGTAGAGACTTGGCAGGCTCTCAATCTACCAACCTGAAATACCACAATCTCTTAGGAAAACAATTTTGTACTCCTATTATATCCTCGAGAAACTCAGGCAAAAGTGTTATAGGAATGCATGTACAAGAAAGTTCAAAGCAGCATTGTTTGTAATAACTAAAAACTAGAAAAATCTCAATATTCATGAAGAGTAGAGGAATAAATAAATTGTGGTATAGTGATACAGTGAAATACCCTAAGGTGGCATTATTCAATAGAAACATGATGTGAGCCACATATGTAATCTTAAATTTTCTGGTAGTCACTTAAAAAATAAAA